TAGGCTTCAAAAATGACCTGTGTGTGGTGCTTGCCGATTATCTCGGAACGCTCAAAAAGGAGCCTTATTTTTTCCCTTTTGTAGTTACACTGTATAACTACTTTTAAGTTGCGCTGTCCGTCTATTCAGTCATGTCCTACCAACTTGCCCGAATTTCCACGCTTCGATGATACACACATCATGGTTTTCATGTTATGACTAGTCACCTATGCTAGTGATAGCCATGTTATACCATACCGATTTTGGTATTGATACCATTATCGAGATGGCCAGAAGAGCTAAAAATTGTAAGTGGCTAGATAGGTAGATAGATAGATAGATAGATAGATAGATAGATAGATAGATAGATAGATAGAAAGATAGATAGATAGGTAGATAGATAGATAGATAGATAGATAGATAGACGGACGGACGGACGGATAGATAGACAGACAGATAGATAGATAGACAGACGGACAGATAGATAGACGGATAGACAGACGGATAGATAGATAGACAGATAGACGGACGAACGGATAGACAGACAGATAGACGGACGAACGGATAGACAGATAGACAGACAGATAGACGGACGAACGGATAGACTGACTGACTATATCTATCTATCCATTCACGTCGCTGATGTTTGCTAAAAAATGCTTTGCATTCAAAAATACTTTCCATTACCATAACGACTAGAAAAATTGCACCTTTCAATGTTCATCAGAATGAAGCCACTTTTCAAACACGAGTCATTGGTCTCATTTTCGAAAGACGTGCACAGTTTTCATGCGATATACCCAGGAAATCCGTGTAGCAGCACTACCAGTGAAGCAGCACATGGAGACAAGCACAAAAGGAACGACAGGGACACCGTTGCACTCGCAATTAGTTTATTCCACAAAAACAACTGGGTAATATACAACATGATAGTGTACCATGTGCTGCAATGACAATCAGTTACAGCATATTTTCCAAAGAGCACATTTCAGCCACGACGCGCTGGTCTAGTGGCTAAGGTACTCGGCTGCTGACCCACAGGGTGCGGGATCAAGTCCTGGCTGCGGTGACTGGAATTTCGATGGAGGCGAAAATGGTGTTGGCCCGTGTGCTCAGACTTAGCAGCACAAAACACAGAAAGCACGAGAACGACGTGACAAGATGAGCGCCTCCCTCTTAGTTTTCTTCTGGTGTAACATAAAGCCTGGGTAATTTCTGTGAACAAACTTAGCCCAAAGTGAAGGCTTGTCCTCAGTAGTCCTTTTCGTGTTTATTATGTGTTTTGCACTCCTAGGTACCTTCATGGGTCAGTACGAACCCTCCCAAGTTTCTGTGGTAATAAACACCTCCAATTCACATTGTAATGGCAACTTTATTCGCTCCTACTTATTGTCACGTGGTTGTGACGTAGAAGGGCGGAGACCCGACGCTCAGATGAAACTGTTTATTCGACCACAAAACTGACTTTCAGATTACAGCAATACATGGGCCCTGATAGCGGCGAACAAAGCGGTTAGCACGGTGGTATTTATACACGTGTCGTGAAATGTACTAGCGATATCGAAAACAGCCACGTAGGTTCCAGAATAATCTGTAATGTTCGCGCATTTTGCGTGAAATTCTTACAGGACTACATCACGCTGAAGAAGCAAGACAGACAGCGAAAAAGACGACGTGATTCTGGGATGTGGGGCGTGCTCTCGCTTGCCATCTCGGCTTAGGCTTGGCGTCGTGCAAATATATCACACCCGTCAACTCGTTTCTCTGTGTGCCCTCCCAGAACAATATTAACGAAATGATCTACTATAGTCCTGAAGCTTCTCCAACACTGCATGGCGGTTTGCGTTCAGAATTACGTACAGTGTAACGAGGTGATAAGAAAATCGAGAACTGAATGTGGCATTATTTGGAACGAAAAATACAGTGGCTCATAAAACGCACATGAACCGGTCAAAGCTCCACGAAGAAGCAGTTATTGTATATTTAATGTGGTACACGTAAATCACTCTGTTACACGTATATTCGAATACATTATTTATTTGTAATTCAGTCTAAATAGGTTATGTCTGGAATTTTTCCCTTTCCTTCTTAGAAGGTACTCTACAAGAAAAGTAACAATGGGGCCTTCTCGCAAGTTTTCTGAAAGCAATACCACTTGGGGACATTAGAGGGTTACAACACCAGTGAGTTGAGGCATTTGTAATCCTTCGTGATTTACTGGCGATGTCCTATTTTCTAAGAGAAACTGTTCAATGGAGTTATACTGCACGAAGAATTTGTGGCTTTCAGTTGATGCTTGTACTGAGTTGGGAACGCCGTAGAGCGTAGACAAAGCTAGCCTCATGAGGCTTTAGTTCTTAAGGCATAAATGACGATTTACTTTACTGCGGTCGACGCAGCTGTCTTTCGGAATTACCTGTACTGCTTCGATTCACTGTCGTGAATGTGTCTGTTCTGGCTGGTTAACCTGCATGATGCCCATGGTCGACTTTGTTCAAAGAGAGAAGCCCGGCCTTGTAGTTTCTTATATAGCACCCGCACGTCTTTTGAGGCTGAATCTTCATTGGTTACGTCGCATGATTGCAGCTAGGATTTCCCGATAGGAATACCTTTAAGGCAACCCTGCAACAAAAAAAAAAATCACATTGTCAGAAATCAATTGTTGGTCGAAGTTTCGATAACCACGCGCGCCAAACATCACAGCGATGCAGGCAGCCTGAATCCGTGAGAATTTACAATTAATTCTAGACTGGCGCGCAGATTACTGCACCGTCCTCGATGGTTGGCTGATTGTCAGCTGCGCCGTGGTCGCCCCGGGATCCCCGCGCGCGAAAGCGAGCTGTGCTTTGTTCGATGAACAAAGTGCTTAGGTCCGCACTAATTTGCCACTTTTCATCCCTGATCTTTTTGCGACAAAATAGAAGCTTCGCTCGGCACGTTGTAAACTCTTTGTGACATGGGATAATGGCGGAGTGTTATGCGCTTACAGTGAGAAGAACGGCTATTTGGGCTAGTTGGTTAAATTTCATGGTGATAAGGGATGCAGCGCAAGCACGAAGGCGCTTGAAGAAACGTGAAACGAAAGGCGAGGCAAGGAAAGCAAAGAGGACAACACGAGCGCTGACTACCAACTGAATTTTTTTCGCAGCACACATGATAATATATACAACAGGCAACCTTTTAACAGCAAACGTGAGCAACGTGACAATTCTGGGGGAGTGTCCGATTAAAAGAAGGCACAATAATAAAATGGCTAACCCCTATCTAAAAGCGCGAACTCTGTCATGCCAGGCCGCCGAAGGCTGGCTTACGCATCTGTCACCAAGTTTCCTAATATGATACGCCTCAGGTATTTCACGGGTAATTTGTCCACATGGCGTACCAGCACACTCACGCCCGGAAATCGAGGCTGGCACCCGCAGCTTTTACAGTGCAAAACAAGGTTTGAACTGATTCCTTTGCATAAATAGTTCATGTGCTCTCCCAACCTTTTATTATAGCACCATCCAGTTTGGCCCATATAACAACGACCGCACGTTAAATGAAGCATGTAGACATTAGTTTGTAGACAATCAAGCATGTAGACAATTTATAGATTGCGCAGTTGGTGTTGTTTACATGCTTCCTTTAACGTGCGATCGTTGTTATATAGGCCAAACTGGGCGGTGCATTAATAAAAGGTTGGGAGAGCACATGAACGATTTATGCAAAGGAATTAGTTCAAACCTTGTTTTGCATTGTAAAAGCTGCGGGTGCCAGCCTCGATTTCCGGGCGTGAGTGTGCTGGTACGCCATGTGGACAAATTACCCGTGAAATAGCTGAGGCGTATCATATTAGGAAACTTGGTGACAGATGCGTAAGCCAGCCTTCAATGGTCTTGCATGACAAAGTTCGCGCTTTTAGATAGTGCTTAGCCATTTTATCATTGCCTTCTTTTTATCGGACACTCCCCCAGAAGTATGTCACGTTGCTCACGTTTGCTGTTAAAAGGTTGCTTGTTGTATAAATTATCATGTGTGCCGTGAAAAATAAAATCAGTTGGTAGTCAGCGCTCGTGTTGTCCTCTTTGCTTTCCTTGCCTCACCTTTCGTTTCACGTTTCTTTCAGCACCTTCGTGCTTGGGCTGCAACCCTTATTACCATGGATCTTACAGTGAGGCTGTTCCATTTTAACTCAGTGTTGTAGGACCCCTATATAAAGACTGAGGAACAACCGGCGGAATCCTTAGAGCTACTTCTTTCTGTTGAATGAAAACTATCGGCCACTGAGATTATTTTACGGAAAAAACAAATGAGCGCGGAAAGAGGACAGACTCACCACTGAGGGCATGGACAAGTGCGTGTTGCCTGTATGGCCCTGATGTCTACTTTTTATGCATCTATATATGCACGTATTTGTATCCGTGTTTCCTTTGAGCCAACAGTTGTGGGTGTAGCACCTGTTTCGTACGTCATGAAGCCCCTACTTGGAGGCGCGTGTGACGCATACCATGCATGGTCTACTGTGTCCGCGTATGCGTCGAAGGTCTGTATTAACTCATATCAGCGAAAATAGACGCTGATAATTTTGAAACGCTGCGCAGTGGTCAACCGAGGCAACGTGATATCAAAGTAATATTTGACGAATTGCATGCTGCACACAAAGGCACGTTTGTGCGAGACTTTGTAGCACACCAACGATATATCTTCAATTAGCATTATTAGATCACGAAGCCAAGGAATGTATAGGGGACTGTAGTCGCAGTTTAAAGTCTAGTGTAGTATTCACGATAATATAGTGAAAAAAAAACGAGGGAAAAGACGCCAGCAGGGAGACAACCTGCTTTCTCACTATGTTTACACGCAGATACTCAAATACGTGACACGCATAAGCTAATGGGCAATAAGAAACATTAATGGAGCTGAGCGCATTGAATAAGCGCCACGAGGGGCAGTGCGTCGTTTTGTTCTGCGTTGCGGGGCAATGCTTAGCTTGATATCTTTGCTTAAGCAATTTTGTGCCCATCTCTGCGCAGGACAACTCCCTGACGTGGGACGCCGAGACTCCGGATTTCACGCCCTGCTTCCAGGAGACGGTGCTGGTGTGGGCGCCATGCCTTTTTCTCTGGCTCACGTGTCCCTTCGACGTTGTGGCCTTCAAGCGCAGCCGAAACCCGCCGCTGCCATGGACGTTCCTCAACATCGCCAAAGTGGTCAGTGCTCTGCGTCTCCTAGAATTACGCGCTCATAACCTAAGTGAAGCTTCGGGGGGCTCCACTGCACTCGCTTCCTGACGAAGCAGCCGTTCGGTCATGGTTAGCAGGGCTTGTGCTGTGCGGTGGTTTTACTAGCTTGCTTTGTTTAAAACACGGCTTTGCTTGAGGCGACGCAATAGCTGCTGTTCATTCTTATACACCGATATTTTCCCTGGGCTGGAGAAGTAACTTGTTTCTAGCTTCCACAAAAGTGCTTTCGCACAAATTGATCGCGCAACAGCTGATGTCCATTATTGAAAAGATTTCATTCTACGAAGAAGGAAAAAAAAACTTTGGACATTTTCCGGAGTCAATGATGATCACAGGCACACCCGGGGCGCTCATATATTACCCGATTTAGTGCGTCATCGTGCCAATCATTGCATTTCCGGATTCCCCTTCACCTTAGACCATCAGTGTGTTGCTGCTGTGAGTTGCAGAGTGCTGCTTGAATTTCTGTTATACAGTGAGCAACGCGGGATAAGGGCTCTTATCTTGCTCTTTAGCTAGAGCTCATTAATTATGACGTTACTTTAAAAGAAGTGGTCAGCAGCTTCTCTGCTGGTTCGTATTCGGTATAAAACCTTATAGGATCTCTCGTTCACAAATTAAGCTACGGCGGCGGTCCCTCCTGTTTTCTAGGGCATTTGAGTGTGCGTAATCTGGGGATTGTTTTCCATATGGCAGGGCTGTTACAGGTGTACACTGATTTTCAATGCTTGAGAAAATTGTAGGTAAGCATTCCGGACTAGAAAAAAAGATACCTTTGATGTAAGGCTGGTCAGAGATACCGAAATGCAGATGTTGGGATGCATCGTGTGCAAGCCTGAAATGCAGATAGATGAATTTGCCTTTGCCGTAATAGAATCCTTCGAAGATACTTTGAAAAAAAAAAGCCGAAATGTATCCCGGTATACACATACAAGTTCTTGACTGCGGACCTCAGCAGCACAAGTATGTTTATAGGAGCCGCATCATAGCATTTTTAAAAGCCATTGAACTGAGTGCCCGTGTTTGGAATTGCCCAAGCGTAAAAAGAGCATATTCTCCTCTCCTTACCTCACCATCGTAATTGATCACTCTTTTCCTGTCCCCTCTCAGCTGCGCAGGACAGCAGGCCAGAGCAAACTGTAGCTGAGGCAAAGCTCTCTGCATTTCTGTAATGTTCTTTTTTTCTCTCTCACTCTCTCTACAGCGCCTTATTTTTATTTCGTGGAGGCCCACACTCCACAAAAGCACTTATTGAGTACAGCATATTGTTGTAAATAAAGTTAGTGGATTTTCAAACAATGTTATTTTATTTACCTATCTACTTATTCATTCATTTATTTAGTGATCAATTTACCCTCAGTGCCAATTGGACATTAGATTGGCAATCATTACACGTTTACAGGTATTACTTGCAAGAAAATACACTAGCACAGCATGACTAACAAACGTTAGACTACGAAATTGATATACTTTGTGGCAACAAAATTTTAGACAGAGTAGTCAGGACTATGCTAAAAATAGCACGGTTCAGACAAATCACTCGAATCTTTAAAGGCCAACTCCGGCAATTTTTTTATGTTAATGAATTGCAATAAAATTCGCTGGGTATTTTCTTTTGCACATTTTAGTCCTTTATGCCAAATCACATGTTTGAGTGATGCACTGATTTTTTGAAATGAATTTTAAAGATTACCTCGAAAAGCTCACCTCACTTTCCAGAATTATTGGCAACACGGTCTGTGTGACGTCATGTTTTCCATGTCAACGGAAGTGACGCAGCCGATGGCATCGCATCTTTGGCAGCTGTTGCGTTTATTGTGCTTTACACAAGGCGACGGCGGCGGTGTTTGGCGCAGGTATAGCACGGGAATGCTTTCTTCTTTCCTCTGTGGTGTTTGGCTGGTGCTTCGCTGGACTGGCTTTCACTTTTCATACTCCGCGCCGGCAGAGCCAGTATACGGCCTCGGGCTCTACCAAATAGTACGTCATACGCAGACAGGGTGCTTGGTTTGGTTTCGGTTTCGGTATTACACATTTTTGCTTACTAAGATTATTTTCAAATTTTCTGAGCATTTCAGCTAGCGGGCTCGTGACAAGAGTGTCTCGGGAACATAGAAACACCATAGCCTTGACATGGCCCAAAAAATTGCCGGAGTTGGCCTCTAACGAACACGAGTGAATTAGGAAAAAGTATAGTTTTAACTGCACATACAATTATGCAAAGAAAGCTGAATCATAAATTGAACAGGAGCTTCTCAGATAGGCTTGCCTTCTGAACAACGTTGATTCAGCCAGCCACGATCTTAGGCTTTCGAAAGGAATCCCTACCACTGCAGCCGAACACAAATTCGTGCTAAAGCAATAATAAAAGGCAGATCCCGCATCAGTGGGAATCGATGGTACACGAAGAAAAAATGAAGAAGGTTAACATGAAACTTTAAAGTTAGCACAACGTTATGAGGCGGAGGCAATTATGCCGTACATGTCGTACATGCCATGAATATTATGTTTGGGCGTGTCATTTACCTTTTTCATCTATTCACGTCAACTAATACCAAATTTGGTGTATGATGAGCTAGCAAAATGGCCGCGAGCGCGCAATGAGCGTAGGATATGGTTATGTTTTACATGACATGCATATCATGATTATCATATGTGGACGTGGCATCTACCTTCTTTGTCCATTCGCGTCATGCGATACCAAATTTGGTATATGTGGAGCTAGTGAAATGGCCGCGAACGCATCATGAGCGTGGCACATAGTAATATTGCCTCATGATACGCATCTAATGATTATCATGTTTGCGCCAAGCAGATACCTTCGTTATTCATTCAAGTCCCGTAATAGGAAATTCGGTATAAGTGAAGCTTGCGAAATGGCGGCGAGCGTAACAAGAAGAGCCCATTATACTCCGACGTAACGTTAACGCACGCGTGCGCAGGGCGCAGCGACGCTACGCTAGCAAAACACGGGGACTATAGTCTGACGCCAGGCGTGACCGGTGCGACCAGCGTCCGTCGGCGTGGCCTAGCGGCAAGCGGCGCGAAATGCGACTTGCCGTATTTCGCGCCGACGACGTTACCCAGACAGCACCGCATCTGCCTCTCTTCGGGATGGAGGGACGCCGCGCGAGCTCAAAAGCGGTTGCGTCAAAGCAACGCAGCGTGGCATGCGCATTCGAGTGCAGGGCAGGCAGATCGAAGCCTTGCGTGGCATCGCCAGCGTGACGCGACGAAACTAACGCCGGCGTTCATGTGCGCCTGGTCACGCCGAAGTGTATTGGCGCTTTTAGTGTGGCATGTAGTCATGTTCTTACATGACACGCATCTCCTGATTATTATGTTTGCCCCAGTCACATGCCATCGTCATCCATTCATGTCGCGTAATGCCAAATTTGGTATAGGTGAAGCTACCGAAACGGCCACCAGCGCCTCATGAGCGTGGCATGTAGTCATGTTACATGACACGCATCTCATGATCATCATTTTGGCCCCAGTCACATACCTTCGTCGTCCATTCAAGTCTAGTAATACCAAATTTGGTATAGGTGAAACTATCGAAGCGGCCGCCAGCGCATCATGAGTGTGGCATGTAGTCATATTGTTACATGACACGCATGCTATGAATTTCATGTTAGGACCTATTGATTGTGTTCGACATGCAGTCATGGCATATCATACCAGTTTTGCAACATGCCGTGTGAACGAAACCATCGCAAGAGCTGCAGGACCATGAAATGTAAATCAAAACATTCATGACATACATGTCGTAACTTTCATGTTGTGACGGGTCACGTATGCTCGTCATACAGTCATGTTACGCCATACTAATTTTGGTATCGATACTATTATCGAAACAGCCGGGGGAGCTAAGTCGTAGGCGGCTAGACTGACGAACGGACGGACGGACGGACGGACGGATGGATGGACGGACGGACAGACTGACTCAGTCACCGGAGTTCGCTATGAAATGCTTCGCATTTTATAAATACTGCCACCGTTCAGGATAAAACGGCACCATGATGTTATCTCCTCTCGAGTCACATAGGTATCGAAACACTTCCTTTTTAACGTGTGTGACTCGTGACCGTTATGAAGCCGAAGTCCGTCCCCATCTTCGAAATTCTTAGTCATCGCGGCCAGACGATTGGGCGTTCCCCAGACCATATAGGGTGGTCATCATTATAACTAAGCGAAATCGAGCCCAATACATCAAATTTGTGCAAATTAGACATAGGCTTACCAATGTTGAGATATTACCAGGACGGAACCGAGTCGTTCATGAGCACATCTTTTCCGCGCAAAACTTAAGAATTTATTGGCCCAACCAGTCATATTGCATGCAACCACACTGTAAAAAAATAGTTACTCCGAGGTTGGAGTAAAACGCCTGTCTTCTAGCGTCCCCCTTTTCGGAGCAAGTTTTGCTTCGGACGTTCTTTGCTCCGGCTCGCCGTCGGAATGGCGTGGCGCACCCGGAGGACTTTTAAAAGATTCACATGAAAACAGCGCCAGTAACGAATCATGTCGTATCAACTCATCCAAGCAACTACGCTAGCTACTTTCTTTTAAAATATATTTCAATCTGGCTGACGAGAGCAATTGCGTGGCACCACCGGAGCACTTTTTGCTGGCATTTTCCTCCGGCTGGCCGGGCTGATTACGTGAAAACTCCGGAGCATTTTTCGCGGGTTTTTCACACCGGCTATTTGGAGCTTTTGTGTGGTACCTCTGGAGTATTTTACCAGTGTACTTCGTCTGGACAGAGTTTGTGGGGTGGACCAGTACTTTTTAAAGTGTTCGCTACGCTGTTTATTGTATGCTGATCGTTTCACGCATTGGTTAGATGAAGGAGCCCCTATTCTCAAGCAAGCACTGTAGAGGTACTGTGTATTCTTTTCTACAGAGCTCTAGCAAATAAAATTCAAGAAAACACTTGAGTTCTTATTCTTTGATTTATTCAAAAT